ACCATTTATAGGTTCTGGGTTTCAGGATGGATACGTCTTGGGGGATGTTAATTAGCCTGCCATACTGTTCTTTTATATTATTCTGGGTTCAGTTTCCTTTTTCTAGGTTGTTAGCTATTTTCTTTTAGCACCTTGAAGTCAATTCATTATCCTCTGGCTTCTTTTACTGTTCTTAGGAGTATGACATCAGTCTAATTTATCTTTCTTTTCTTTCTGGTTGACCTTAAGAACTTTTGTGCATTTTCACTTCAACCTGGATGGTTGTGGATTTAGGTTTATCTGTCAGGCCAGGACTCATTTTGCTACTCTTGAGTATTTTTGATTTCCAACTGTTTTGGAAAATTACAGCCATCTTCTTTTCAAATATCTCTCCCATTTTCTGTTTACCTCTGCATTTACTAATTCTGTTCTTTATGTCTTTCATGTTTTCCTTTCATTTTTTTCTGCCTTTTGGCTAATTTTCTCTGAATCATCTTCTAGTTCTTTAATTCTCTTTTCAAGTCTAATCTATTTACTTATACTGAGATTTTGTTTAATGACTATATGATTCAAAATTCAGTCTTTGTAGTTTCTTCATGCTTCCTTTTTATATGTATGTGTTGTCTTTAAGCTTTGAGATCTTCCAGAGTTATTTCAGTAGGAACTTCCTCTTATATTTTGGTCCACAGTTTATTAGCTTTGATTTTTTTGGTCAAGCTTGATTATATCTGTATTATTTTAGAGGAATTACTCAGAATTTTTTCTGGTGAATGACAGGTGTGCTAGTTTTCTTGCTTTCAGTACCATGATTCTTTTAACAATTTTCTTGGAATTTTAGGAAAAAGTCTTTTCTTTATTATTATTTATTATCTTTGGTAATAATCATTTGTTTTTTGGCATCTATTAGACTAGTCCTGTAATTTTCTCCTTTGACCTAAAGTATAATGTTACTGGATTTCTAATGAATGACTATCCCCACATTAAAAAATACATATATAGTTTTGAATTATGTTTAAGAGTTTGTCTTTCCTCACAGGTTTGATTATTTTGTGGCTTTATTTTTTTGTCTTATCTTTGTCAAGTTTTGACATATAAAATGAATTTGGAAGATTTTCTTTTTTACATATATTATCACCTATTAATAATTGATAGTATATTTCCTTAAAGGTTTGATAGAAACCAATAATTTGGATCTGATACCTTCTTATTGGGAGGAGGGGAGTCAGTGGCTATAGTTTTTTCTGCCTTTGCTACCCTTCAATTCCTCCCATAGCAGTTTGTCTGCATTATATTTTAACTTGGCTTTTAAAAAAAAATTCAGTCCTTTTTTGGAGAGTGAATTTTGCCATTTTTAAAGTTGCTAGAAATGATAAGTTGTTTACTAGTATTGCCTGGTTTTAATTGCTGTGTTCTACTGAAGAGATCAAAAAAGGATAGGAAATCTTCTAGTACCTTTCTTGAAGTTTTTGTTCTTAATTCTTTCATTTCCCTTTTAGGATTGTTGTAACAGTTTTTCTTGTTTTTCCAAGAAGACATTTTAAGGCCAAAGCTCTATGTCTACTGTTAACTTTACAGTATCTTATTCTACTTTTTAATATATCGTCAAAGTATAAATATCATCAAAGCTTTTTTTCTTACTCTTTGGGGAAAATCTGAAAGAAGTTCCTCTCCCAGACTCATCTTTTCTAATTACAGCTAGGGTTCATAGTGATTTTTCTTCATTCTTCGGATATAAAGTTGCTTTTGTTTGGAAGTTAAGAAACCTGCCTTTCAGGCATTTGTGGTCAGGCCCTGCATTTTCTACCTCCAGCAAGAAAATTTAATTCTAATCAGTTCTAATCAGCTCAGTCTCCTCATTTCCCCCATGCTCTTTGCCCTCTCTAATTTTTTTTCTTTTCCCTTTCTCCCATTCTTTGGGGGAATGGTTCTTTACCCTAACTGCACATGAGTTTTATCTGTGGAGCTTTAAAAAAAAAAGGAATGTACTTAATTTCCTGAACTGGAAAGAATTGCTGAACTAGGATTAATATTTCTCTCTTATGCTATTCTGAAGACAGCTTAAATCTTAGCTCCAGCACTAATTGAATACATGTTATGACAAAGACACACCAAGATAAGTGATGGGGGAATAAAAGATGAATAAAACATGTTTCTGATCTCAAAGTAGCTAATAGACATGAAAAACATAAGCAATTTTAGGATATCAAATTTTGACTATAAAGCAGTTCTGCCTGGGTGGTCAATGAACTCATCATAGAGGGAGTTTGTCATTTTCTGAGATGAAGAGACTGTAACAAAAACAAGTTTTGAAGGGGCTCTGGGGGGACAGATCAAAAGTTGACTTTTGAACATGTTAAGTTTGAGATGCTTATTAGTTATCTTAGTAGAGATATTCAGTAAGCAGTTGGACAAAAAGTCTGGAGTTGAGAGGATAAAGTTGGGTTTAAAAATTTGGGTTTCATCAATTCATATTTGGCATATAAAGTCACAAGATTAGGTAAGATCACTTGGGGTGTAAGTGTAGCTAGAGAAAAGAAGATATCTAATACTTGTTGGGGATATGAGAAATTAGCGAAGGAGTCATAAATGAAAATATTGTAATATCTGACTGTAGAAAAAATTAGAAACTTCTGTCATTCTCAAACTTTAATAAGGATCACTTTGTTAAAGTTTGGTAGGTCTGAAATGGGGCCTGAGATTCTGCTACTCTAACAAACTTCCAGAAGATTATGCTGCTGGTAGTCTATGGACCGTGCTTTGAGTAGCAAGACTTTCTGTGACTATAGAGACATAAAGTAAAAAGAAGGAAAGACTGTAACGTTTGTAGGAGAATAAGGATTAATACCCAGAATATCCAGAATAAAGGGTATCTATAAATGAACAAGAAAAAAATAGATGGGGAGAAAGGATACAGATAGGGAATTTTCCATAAAGAAATTAAAATGGTCAATAAACATGAAAAATGCTCAACTTTCTAGGAAATACAAATTGAAACAAGATCATCTTTCCCCTTAAGATCAGGAAAAGTTTAAAAATTTGAAAATATCCAGTGTTGGTGAGATTGTGGGGAAAAGGGTGGACTGATACCCTAGTAGGAGGGTATCTTGGTACCTTTTTCCTTTTGGAAGACCATTTGGCATATTAACTTTTTAAATGTGCATATCCTTCAATCCAGGAATCCTTTGCCTTAGTATCTAAAAGGAAAACTTGTACCTTTGCCCAGAAAGGCATTTCAGAGCTATTCACTGAATTGTTTGAAGTTGAGAAAAATGAAATAATCTAAATGTCCTCTAGTAAGGAATTATTAAATAAACCAAGGGTCCTGAAACCCTTTGCTCACTTATTCTCCCCTGTACATTTTAAAATTGTCTCACATTTTTGGGACTTCTCTGGTGGCTCAGTGGTTAAGAATCCGCCTGCCAATGCAGGGGACATGGGTTCAAGCCCTGGTCCGGAGAGATCCCACATACTGTGGAGCAACTAAGCCGGTGTACCACAACTACTGAGCCTGTGCTCTAGAGCTCACAAGCCACAACTCCTGAGTCCACATGCCACAACTACTGAAGCTCACGCACCAGAGCCCGTGCACTGCAACAAGAGAAGCCACCGCAATGAGAAGTCCGTGCACCGCAATGAAGAGTAGGCCCCGCTCACCACAAGTAGAGAAAGCCCACGCGCAGCAACAAAGACCCAATGCAGCCAATAAATAAATAAATAAATAAATAAAATTTTTTTAGAAAATTGTCTCATGTGTTTTCATTATAACTGTAATAGTTTAAAAGACCATGATTTCTAGTATATGTTAAATAGATTTTGGTTACACCTTAAAATTGCAGATTCAAATCATTCAGTTTATAGAGAGTATCTATCATATACCGTATACAGAGCAGATTCTCACACCACTCAGATAAATTGAACTCATTTTTCATAAGGAAAAAAAATCTGACTTCTTATTTATCTTAAAATAAACATGTAATATGTGCCTGTATTATGACTTCTGAATTCTAGACTTTGAATTCTCAGCTGGCTGAGACTTCTGAATTCTCAGCTGGCTGGCTGGTTAAATGGATGAGGCTTGGAGCCTTCCCAAGAATGTGTTTCATTAATAAAATAAGGTCTTGCTCTTAATATTCCCCCTTTTCCTTCTTCTTTTGTTTGTTAGGTGCTTTGAAGTTTATACAGCTCAGAACAGTGCACCTTAGTAGGATTTGAGATGGATAAGAACTTTGCCTTTCTTTTACAAAGTGGAGAATTACAAAGTGGTAATTTTAAAAGGAGAGGAAGAAAGGAGAACTAGTTCTAAAGCAGATCAACTAGGAAGAGTACAGATAGACATTGAGGATCTGGAAATTGATTCTCCTAAAATCATCCATGTCGACCTAACCTTAGGTTACCGTTGAAGTTTGAAGACCGTTGAAATAAGCAGTGCCATAACAATAGTTTGGAATGAATGTTAGATCTATCTATACTTAATTCAGCCATTTAAAAGGATGCTTATACAACCCTTGAAATGAAGTAAAATACATGTGTATTGACATGGAAAGAATTCTGGGGCATGTTGTTTGGTGAAAAAAGCAAGTGTTAAAAATATTTTAATATGTAATATTTATATTATATATAGTTGTATATTTTATATATGTATATATTTATGTTTTTTACTTGAGTGAAAAGGAGACATGGAAGAATGTATATTAGACTGTAAACAGCACTTACCTTTTTGGCAGGGGGCCCAGCAATGTGGGGAAAGTGAAAAGAGATTTTCATTGCTTGTTCCTGAATACTCATGTATTATTTAAATCTTTTATAGTTGAGAATATATTGTGTTACTAGTGTAGGAAAAAATTTAAAGAAGTTTAATAATAAAAGGGAAAAACCACTATACTAAGTGATCTCTAAGGTCTCTAAGCTTTAAATTTCAAGGAACACTGGCAGTTACTGCAGTATTTTAATAGAAATGTTAAAATATTTCTAATTCATATTCTAAATGATTTGTATTCAAATTCTTTCAAAATATTTTTTAGGTGTGGAATATCAAACAAATGATTAAATTGACACAGGAGCATATAGAGGCCCTACTGGACAAATTTGGTGGGGAGCATAATCCACCATCAATATATCTGGAGGTAAGCTTTTGAGTATCATATATGTAGTAATTTTGGAAAGAAGAAAATGAACTTATAAAAAAGCATTTGTACTGGTAATATTGGTTATTTTAGGGAGTGGGATTAGAAGTAGATATGGGAAGAGAGAATTAGCTTTGTCTTTATTGTACTTTTTAATCTTGTTTCACTTGTTACAATAAACATGTAGTATTTTCTAATTTGGAAAATATCAAAACTAAAGGAGAAGTTGTATATAAGCTTCAAAATATCACCCTGGTTTAAAAAAAAACAAAAACTTAGTGAAAAAAAGAGAGAGAGAAAACAGTCTTTTTTGGAGGTCAGCAAACTAGTTACCATATTAGAAAATGGGGAGAATTTTGTGAAATATCTTTTTCCCAGAACAAATCCCCACAAAATAGGTTTTTGCTTCCTTATGGATAAAGTCTACAGTATTTAAATAGCTCAAAATTGCTTAGCCTTACTGTTTGATAGTGCCTTCAGGCTTTTGTATCAAACCTTTAACATAACTGTAAATTTATTGATTAGTCATTGTTCTTAATCCTGTGAGGTAGTAGTTACTGTTATAATCACAGGTAGGCTTTCTTGGCGTTAGTTTCCTATGTAAGTCACTCAGCTCCCACAGCTAGGAAGCTGTTATGGAATCTAGGCAGTCAGGCTCCACAGCCCACACTGCTTACCACTACACTATACTGGCTGTCTCTATAAAAGCTGGCTCCAACTGTAATCACTAGTCACACTGGGAGATAACCCTAAATTACAAATGATCAGGTTACCATTTGCCTTCAAATGCCAGAGATTTTTAGGCATGGATTGACAGACTCCTAAATGAAAATTCTAATTTAGTAATCTAATTACTTTTAAAGGGTAAGTAAATCTTCAGTATTTCAAGAGAAAGTAAGCTTGCATTTCTAAAATAAACTTGGAAGTTTGGAAATAACTGCTAATAAACTGTTCTCTTCTTCATATGGCTTATCACAGAGCACACTGCCAGTTAGTATCGGTGCTAGGACTAGAATTCATACTTCTGAATATAGTTAGTGTACTTTCTAATATCCCATGCTGTTTTTTTTTTTTAACATCTTTATTGGGGTATAATTGCTTTGCAGTGGTGTGTTAGTTTCTGCTTTATAACAAAGTGAATCAGTTATACATGTACCTATGTTCCCATATCTCTTCCCTCTTGCGTCTTCCTCCCTCCCACCCTCCCTATCCCATCCCTCCAGGGGGTCACAAAGCACTGAGCCGATATCCCTGTGCCATGCGGCTGCTTCCCACTAGCTATCTACCTTACTTTTGTTAGTGTGTATATGTCCATGACTCTCTCTCGCCCTGTCACAGCTCACCCTTCCCCTCCCCATATCCTCAAGTCCGTTCTCCCGTAGGTCTGTGTCTTTATTCCTGTCTTACCCCTAGGTTCTTCATGACATTTTTTTTTTCTTCTTAAATTCCATATATATGTGTTAGCATACGGTATTTGTCTTTTTATTTCTGACTTACTTCACTCTGTATGACAGACTCTAGGTCTATCCACCTCCTTACAAATAGCTCAATTTCGTTTCTTTTTATGGCTGAGTAATATTCCATTGTATATATGTGCCACATCTTCTTTATCCATTCATCCGATGATGGACACTTAGGTTGTTTCCATCTCCGGGCTATTATAAATAGACATGCTGTCTGTTTTACTTGTATGTGTGAGGAGAACAAGCAAAGGAGTCATAAGGAGGCAAATAGTCCTGGTGAAAATAGTAATTCTTTGTTAATCAGAGTTAGACAACTTAACCAGCAGTTTTTCTGCCAACCATTTTGTGTCGGGAAACTTTCCCCATCCTCATGTAATCCATTTGCATCGATCACCACGTCTCACTGTTGCAGGGATTTACTACCCCTCCACACACATACGCTTCAGGCTTTTTACTATTTGAATTACATCTAACGAGGACGGTATACAGCAGACTATACCTCATAGGTTATATCATTAGCATGTAGATTCTTACTCTCAGGGACTAACACTACACAATTTCTCTGTAGAAGGCAGTATAATATAGTGGTTAAGATGAACCATGGAGTCACACAGACCCTGTGTTTAAATTCTGGCTCTGCCTTAATTTATGCAGACAGGTTACCTAACCTCCTTATACCTCACCTCATTGGTAAGATGGGACTGTATCACACATATGGTAATTTAAAGATTAAATTGAGTTTATAATTATGAAATAGCATAGTTCCTGACACATATTAAGTGCTCCGTAAATCTTTGATTCATTTGTTCAACAGATAATTTTTGAGTGCCTGCTAATATTTGTACTTGTCTAAGCTCAGGGGATATAACAAAAAACAACCCCGCCCACCCCACCTCCAGCTATGCCTTCAGATAGCTTGTATGTTAATCAGGGGAGTGGGTTACAGAAAATAAACATAGAAATAATAAAACATTGAACTTACCACCATTTGATATACTGTGAAGAGGAGCCTGGCTGCAGATGGCAGTATTCTTCCCTGAGGAAAGTTGACCAGGCCCAGGGAAAAGACTTGTGGGTATTGCTATTTGAAGGCCCATAAGTGGGTAATCTACTGATTACCCACTGAGACCCACCATTCTCCTTTCTGTCTCTATGAATTTTACTACTCTAGAATGTCACATAAGTGGAATTCTAACATATTTCCTGTAACTGGCTGATTTCATTTGGCATAATGTCTTCAAGCTTCATCCATGTTGAAGCATGTGTCAAAATTTTCTTCCTATTTAACGCTGAATAATATTCCATTGTATGTATATATCACATTTTATTTATCCATTTATCTATCAATGGCTACCTTCAGTGGTTGGTTGTTTCCACCTTTTGGTTACTGTGAATAATGCTGATTTTACTTCTTTGGGGGGTGTATACCCAGAGTGGAATTACTGAATCATAAGGCAATTCTATATTTAATTTTTTAAGGAATTGCCATTCTCTTTTCCATAAGCAGCTACATTTTGCATTCCCACTAACAATCCTTTATATGCTTGCCAAGACTTATTTTCTGTGTGTGTGTGTGTGTGTGTGTGTGTATGTTTAATAATAGGTATCCTAATGAGTGTGAAGTGGTATCTCATTGTGGAAATGCAAATCTCCAACTTTGTTCTTCTTTTTCAAAATTGTTTTGGCTATTTGGGATCCCTTGAATTTCCTCATGAATTTCAGAATGGATTTTTCTATTTCTCCAAACACATTGCCATTTTGGTAGGGCTTACACTGAATCTGTAGATTACTTTGGGTAGTATTGACATCAAGAGTCCTTAACTCTTAAATATGAATGGACAGTTAAGAATAACCAGATAGGGACTTCCCTGGTGGCACAGTGGTTAAGAATCCATCTGCCAATGCAGGGGACATGGGTTCGAGCCCTGGTCCAGGAAGATCCCACATGCCACAGAGCAGCCTGTGTGCCACAACGTCTGAGCCTGTGCTCTAGAGCCTGCGAGCCACAACTACTGAGCCTGCATGCCTAGAGCCCGTGCTCTGTAATAAAACAAGCCACCTCAGTGAGAAGCCCGCACACCGCAACCAAGAGTAGCCCCCGCTCGCCGCAACTAGAGAAAGCCAGCGCGCAGCAAGAAGACCCAGTGCAGCCAAAAATAAAATAAATAATTAAAATTTAAAAAAAAGATTAATGAATAAATAACCAGATATTTAAAGAAAGCTATTAACAGGAAAGATAATGGCAGAAATGGTCAAAAGGAACTCAGAAACAGTGCAGAGAACAGAAGAAAATTTGAAAATAACTATAATTAACATCAAAGATAAGAGAAAATATAGTAATCTGTTCTTGTTTCATGGTTGTACTAAAGAAGCAAAAGTAATAGAGAATAAGAGCTCTTGGAAACTAAAATAGTAAATTAAAATGGCATAACAGAAAATTTAAATATGTGTGTGTGTATCTGCATGTGCATATAAACAGACAAACAAACAAATGCTATAAAGTTAAGGACATCTTCCAGAAAGTAGAAAAAAACAAAGATGGAAAATATTAAAGGAAAGATCAGAAAAATTAGAGAATAAGTCTAGGAGATCTATAAAAATTACAAATGTTTTTAATCTGCAAAAAACAAATAACAATTTGTCCAAACATGTAGCGGTATTAATTTCCGCTCCCATAACAAGAAACACGAAGGTAAATTATTCAAAGATTGTTCTACAGCTCAAGGTTGTCAGACACTGGGGTAGATTGCTGTAGTCCTTTTGGTTTTTCTGTCATAACTGCAGCACATCTGAGAATCGTACTCTAACACAAGACGTCAAATCAGGAAGAAGGGATCACAGATGTTCTCTGGTGTACTGAGCCCTTGCAAGGAGGAAAACCTCCCCCCCCAAATCCCTTACAAGTCTTTACATTTCACCAACCAGAATGGGGTTACATACACCCCTAGACTAGTGCCTGTGCTTACATTTCCTGAAATAAGAGGCTAAAAAGTAAAATTTTCCCAGTGTTCACAATTTGGCTTCAGATTAGTTTGTGCACTGGCAGGTAGAAGTTGTGCTATAGCATTTCGAAAGAAACCCCTTTGGTGTTTTCATAGAGAGATAAATCTTTACCTATCTCTCCATTTCTTCCTTTTAGCAGAACAGAATGAAATCACTTATATCACCATCAGAAATCCTTGTGGCTTTCTTTTTTCTATGTACTAATTTATTTAAAAATGAGTTTTTAAGTTCTAGATTTTCTCCAACTGGCGTATGAATAATAATTAACATTCTGTTTATTCCCTTGATGATAACTGCAGTGAAATGAACTATTGTACTCTAAAGAATTTCAGGTTTGTCTTTTCAGTCATTGGTTCCAGTCTTTTCTTTTTACCATCGTACAGAGGAAGAAAAGATGAGTTTCCCCTAAAAGTCGTTCCCCAGAATTTCTTATTTTTCTCCCAATTCTTCTGTATTTACTCATCCAACAAATTATTTGAATGTCTTCTGTGTGTAAGATATAATGCTAGATGCTTTTCTAGTAGTAGATTCTTC